ATTCAATAAAATAGTTACATAACTGATGGATGAGAAGAGCCTGTGCAGGGTGTAGACTATCGGGTATTCAGTGAGAGGAGCTTCTGGGGTTGTTTATATTTAAGTTGTTACCATCCAGATGCCAGGGCAGGAGGAGCAAGCCAGGCTAGAAGAGACGTAATGGGGAAGGCTGTGAGCATCTCAGAGCCAGCATGGCCTCTTTCCCATTTCTTCGCTGCGCTTCCACGCAGCCCGGAAACGTGAGCTTATTTGCGCTTTGCCGTTCCCCAGCCGCCTCCCTGGAGCACACGTGCGGGCAGCTGAGCCCAGACTGTCCACCAGAGGGCGTCAGCTGCCGCGCTGCCTCCTCTCGTTTCTGGAGCCCAGAATGTGATGAGAGGTTTGCCAGGGATAAGGTTTAAGGTGGCCTTTGCTTCCTTGTTAAGTCCACCGAATACACTGCTTATTGGTTTCAGTTAGGCCTGGGGGGTGCTAGTCACCAACGTGCAGCTAGGAGTAACATCCCTGGGGATGTGTGTGTGTGTGTGCACGCATGCGCTTGCAAGGTGTGTGTATATGTGCATATGTGTGCAGAACGCTGGGCTGTGAGCTCCAGGTCATTTAGCATCTGCCTGTCGAGTGACTCTGCCCTGAAATGACTGAGCCTCCCCAGGCTCTATGGCCCGAATAGTCAGAATGCCTTACATCCCAAATGTCACCATCCCAACCTGGACCGAGTTCTCCCTCACTTCTCACCTCCCTGTGGCTTTGTCAACAACCTCTGCCTAGACAGGAGAAGGAAGGAAGCACCAAGAGAATCCTACATCCCAGTTCGTCATGCTCCAAATGCTCTTCTCTTTGCAGGATGGTGTCCCCCAGCCTTCGCAGGCCGGGGGCGCTTAACAGGCTGTATCTGAACCCTCTGACCACCTGCTTGCTCACAGCAGACAAGCGGGCTACAGGACATTTACTTTCAGCAGCCGCTAGGTGGCAACATCACGGGAACTTCCCGCTCCTGGGTTTAGATTGTGTCTAAGCCTACAGCCGTGGTTTGTAGATTCCAAAGGGAAACAAGAGATGGTCAGTCCATAGGATGCTGGGGTTGGTGGGTGCTTCTAGCCTGGGGAGAGTGCTGAGAATGGCCCCGAGTCCTTACTTTATAGCTTATGACTCTTGTCATTGACTGGCGAGGTGTGGACTAGACTGTATTTGGGGTTTGTAACGATAATGATGTTAACCACTAACCCTCAGTAGTGCAACCTAGGTGACAGGCACTGTTCCAGGTGCTTTGCACACATCAACTCAGCTGATCATCTGAATAGAGGACTGACTATCTCATTGGGCATTTAGTACCCCACTGGGTATCACTCCTATTTTACAGATGGAGAAACTAAAGCATAGAGGAAGAGTAATTTACCCAAGGACACAACCAAGGGGACGCTAGTGATAAAGAGCTGCTTGGCAATGCAGGAGATATAAGAGACACAGCTTTGATCCCTGGGTCGGGAAGATCCCCTGGAGGAGGGCATGGCAACCCACTCCAGTATTTTTGCCTCGAGAATCCCATGGACAGAGACAGTCTGATAGGCTACCATCCATAGCGTCACAGAGTTGCACATGGCTGAGTGACTTAGCACGCATGCATAGAGCTGGTAGGAGGATTAACTGGGAACTGAACTCAAATTGGGCTTTAAAGACCCAGGGGTTTGAAGCCAGCCTGTTCAGTTTTGTACCATTTTCTTCAAGGTACCCAGAAGGGGAGAAATCCCATTGTCTAGGTGGGAGAAGCAAGATTCCGAAGTGGGCACAGAGCTTCTCAGAGTCCCAGTCAAGGAACATCCCCTTCAGAATAAATATGAAAAGGAAAGCATCTTGAAAATGTGCCCAAGTGGGGGTTTGGGGCACACCAGGGTAACTGGTGGCCTTTTCCTGCTCAGGAGCGGGGGTCCCGAGGGCATCTCTCTGAAGGGGCATCCAGCTCGCAGTAGCAGCGGCTATAGGCTGGGAGGGGAAGGAGGAAGGAGGAAGCCAGTCCCTCGGGGTTGCAGGGAAGGGTGGGGCTGAAGCCTCTTCATTCCCGGCACATCCAGTGAAGTGGGTGGGAAGCTGCTGCAGGCACTTCTGCTCACTCGCACCTGTTCACTTTTATTTTATTTTTTGAGCCAGTCCCTCAGATGCTCAGGTTTGCTAGCTCCCTGCTGGTTCCCCATTGAACACAGCCTTTGAATGGGAGACTGAGTCAGAGCTGCCTCAAACGTGCCTGGAAGGTGAGAACGCAGCCCATAAAAGCACTCTTCATAGCACTAAATTCCTCTGTTTCAGACTCTTTGAACGTGGAGTGATCCACAGGTTGCAGCCCAGCTGGAGGTGTATGATAAAAGAAACTGGTCTGCTCAGAGTCCAGTGGGAGTTGACAGAGGAGGAGAGTTTAACAAAGGGGAGGCTGGGCTTGGTGGGGCCTGGTGACTCCACGATGGGCCACAGGTAGGGCAGGAGGTCATCTGGCCGCCCGGGACAGCCGCTGGTCCCAGGACGCCACTTCTAACTCCTCCAGACTCTGAGAGCTCCGAGAGACAGTGAACCCAGGTAAAAAAAAAAAAAATACAACCGACTAGTGATTATAACAAAACAGAAACAAACTTACAGATACAGAAACAAACTAGTGGTTACCAGTGGGGAGAGGGAAGGGTATATTGTACAGCACAGGAAATTCAGCCAATTAAAAAAGTTAATTTATTTATTTTAATTGGAAGATAATCACTTTACAATATTGTGATGGTTTTTGCCATACATCAGTGTGAATCAGCCACAGGTATGCATGTGTCCCCCCCCCATCCTGAACGCCCCTCCCACCTCTTTCCCCATCCTGTCCCCCTGGCTTGTTCCAAGGCACTGGCTCTTGGGGTGCCAATTTTTCCTTATATATATAATTTTATTTATTTATTCATTTTTGGCTGTGCTGGATCTTCATTGCTGGCTTTTCTCTAGTTGTGGCGAGTGGGGGCTACTCTCTAGTTGCGGTGTGCGAGCTTCCCATTACAGTGGTTTCTCTTGTTACAGAGCACCTGCCCTAGAGTGTGCGGGCTTCAGGAACTGTGGTTCTGGGCTCTGGAGCACAAGCTCAGTAGTTGTGGCCCACGGCATGTGGGATGTGGGATCAGCTGCTCCGTAGCACGTGGGATCTTCTCAAATCAGCCATCAAAGCCGTGTCTCTTGCATTGGCAGGAGGATTCTTTACCACTTAGTTACCAGGGAAGCCCTAGCCAATGTTTAATAAATGGAGCATAATCTTTAAAAGTTCTGAGTTACTATGTTGTACACCTTTAATTATATAATGTGTTTACTCGCTCGCTTTTGTTTGACTCTTTGTGACCCCATGGACTGTAGCCTGTCCGGCTCCTCTGTCCATGGGGATTCTCCAGGCAAGAACACTGGAGTGGGTTGCCATGCCCTTCTCCAGGGGATCTTCCTGACCCAAGGATCGAATCCAGGTCTCCCACATTGCAGGCAGATTCTTTACCATCTGAGCCACCAGGGAAGCCCAAATTATATAATATTGTACAAAATTATATAATTTTATATATTTGTACAATATTACATAATTTATATAATATATACAATTATATAACATTGTACAAAATTATAGAAAATATACAAACTTATGTAATATTGTACATCATTTATACTTCAGTAAAAAAAAAAATTCTCCAACAGTTGGGAATTGGCCAGACAGGGACCCCAGGACCTTACCCACCTAGGTGCAGGGTAGGATGGTGCCACCCAGCTGCCTTGAAGTCAGATGTGGCCACGTGACTCGCTTCTGTGAATGAAGTATAAACTGCAGTGATACTTCTGATGGAAGCCCCATCCTTCTTTTCCACTGTCATGGCAATCATCTACACCCCGGGTGGTGGCTGTTGTGCCAGCCTCAGCTCCAGAGAGAGCTGTGTGGATTGGCGGCCCCAACTGAGCTGGGATGGATGTACAGCACAGTGAGAAATAAATCTTTGTCGTTTTAAGCCACTGAAATTTTGGGGGTGCCTGTTAATGTAGCATAATCTAACTTATGCTGACAGGTATGTGGATAATCAGATTGCTGAGTCCTGGCTGATGGATCCCTTGGCTAATATGTTATGTATCCAGGCAACAACATTCGTTAACCTAATTAAAGTTCACATAATTTCCACAATTGAGTCTTTGGGGTAGGTATTGCAAGCACTGTTGCAAGTTAGTTGGGGGGAGAAATTTGGGAAGTGGCCATGAGCCTACTTAAACACCACTGCTTGTTCTGCCCAGCTTAGAGGATTCCTGTAGGTAGGTCCCAAGGACTGACGAGTCAGGCACTTAGTTCTCTAATGTGTCAGTGGAACACCCGCCTTTTACCGTCATCTATCAAAGAAACAGAAGCATGGTCACAGACCACTTTGGTACAAGAGGAGAAGCTGTTCCCTTTAATGCGTGGGTCTTACTCCTGGCTGCACATTAGAATCAGCGGGAAGCTTAACATCCCCACACCAAGGCTGTTCCCCAGACAAGTCAGTGTCTCTGCAGGTGGGCTTGGCAGCAGCAGCTTGTGAAGCTCCCCAGGTAATTCATGTGCCCGGCCAAGCACCACAGCCATAACATTTCCTTTTCCTCCAACAGGGGCCGTGTTTTAACGAATGTTTGAGGCAGTCATTTTGTAGAACTCTCCTGCTTTCCCATAGCCATGTGTCTCAGGCTGCTGCAGATGCTGGAAAGAAAATGCCTGGAGATTCAGTCTCCGAAGGGTAAGTACTCATATGGGGAGATCCTGGAGCCCAATAGTGCCCTCCTGGAGGATCTGAGCGTAGACAGACCTGGACTCGCCCCCCTGCCCCATAACAGTTCTGTGACTTTGGACAAGTTGCTTGACATCTCTGAGTCTCAGTTTCCTCATCTGCAGTGTGGGAATAATCTAATGCCAGCCTTGTTGGCTTAGCACAACAGTCTCTGCATAACTACTAGCTAAATTATTATTTCTCCCAGGTGACTTGTCTTGAATGACGAGGAAGTTTCAGTTGTACAAGTTCCACCTGCTGCCCCTACCGGCAGCACTCCTTCAGTGGCGAATGGAACCTCAACTCTCGGGTGACCCCAAGCAGAAACTGGGGAGGCATTCTGGACTCTTCAGTCTGTCCCTCAATCCCCACATCCAGTTCATCATTAACCGTGATATCCTGCCTCCTAAGGACCTCACAGATCCATCCTGTTCTCCCCATCCATCCTGCAACTTCCTTGAGTTTGAGCATTATCTGAATTATGCAGTAGCCCCTGGTGGGTCTCCCCAGTGCCTCTCCTCAAATCCCTTTCCCAAAATGTAGTCAGAGTGATCTTTCTAAGCTATAAATCTCCTTATTAGATATTAAAGCAAAATTTTCAGTTGTAATAATTAAAACAGTGGGGGTGCTGGTGGATGAATAGACAACACATCAATGGAGAGAAAAATAGGAAGTCCAGAAATAGATCTACATACATAGAGGAAGTTGGTATATTACAAAAGTGGCACTTCAAATCAGTGGAGAAAAGACAGATTATTCAATAAACACCATAGGCGCAAGTGGGTGGCCATCTTTGCATAGAAATAAAATTGGATCCATACCTCATACTTTACACAAGGAATGGTTCACAGATATAAACATAAAAAGGTAAATCCATAAAAGTCCTAGAGGAAAACATAGTATAACTCAAAGCAGAAAGGGCTTTTTAAAATAGGATTCAAATTCCAGAAGCCAAAAAAGAAAAGATCAAGAAGTTCAACTACATTTAAAAAACTCTCTATGGAAATAATCACCATAGGCAAATAATCACCATAGCATCATACTGCTGCTGCTGCTGCTGCTGCTGCGTCGCTTCAGTCGTGTCCGACTCTGTGAGACCCCATAGGCGGCAGCCCACCAGGCTCCTCCATCCATGGGATTTTCCAGGCAAGAACACTGGAGTGGGCTGCCATTGCCTTCTCCGAGGCAAAATCATAAGTCTGGGTAAAAGATTTTAACACGTATCACAAATCAAAGGTAAATTTCACAATATACAATGAGCTTCTACCAATGATTAGAAAAAGACCAACAACTTGATAATAAAATGGACAAATACATGGACAAACATTTCAAAGGAAATTATGAATGACTATTAAGCATATAGTTTTTCCAGGAGTCATGTACGGATGTGAGAGTTGGACCATTAAGAAGGTTGAGTGCCAAAGAACTGATGCTTTTGAATTGTGTTAGAGAAGACTCTTCAGAGTCCCTTGGACTGCAAGATCAAACCAATCAATCCTAAAGGAAATCAGCCATGAAGATTTATTCAGGAACCGTTGCTCAAGTGGAAGCTCCAATATTTTGGCCATGTGATGCAAAGAGCCAATTCACTGGAAAAGATCCTGATGCTGGGAAAGCTTGACGACAAAAGGAGAAGGGGTGGCAGAGGATGAGATAGTTAGGTAGCATCACTGACTCAATGGGCATGAATTTGAGCAAACTCCGGGAGACAGTGGAGGACGGGGAGCCTGGTCCTGCACCCCCTGCAATCCATGGGGTGGCAAAGAGTTGGAGACAACTTAGCAACTGGACAACAAAATTAAGCATATAAAACTACGGTCAACCTCAAATAAGTGAAATGCAAATGAAAAGGACATATATTAGTTTTCACATATTAGATTGGAAAACATTTTAAAAATTGGTGACATAGGAATTGCTGTGTGTGTATATGTGCTAGGTCACTCAGTCGTGTCTGACTCTTTGCGACCCTCTGGAGTATCGTCTGCCAGGCTCCTCTGTCCATGGGATTTCCCAGGCAAGAATACTAGAGTGGGCTGCCATGTCCTCCTCCAGAGGAACTGATGAGATGGTAAGAAATCAAGCACTGTCATCCATCGTTGCCAGACACATAAATCAATGGAAGGGAACCTGGGAAACTAGCCAAATGACAAATATTAATAACTGTGATGGTTATCAACTTTGCAAGGCTCTAGTACCAGTTATTTAATCAAACACTAATCTAGGTGTTGCTGTGAAGGCATTTGGTAGATGTGGTTAACATCTACAGTCAGGTGACATCAAGTAAAGGAGAGAGCCCTTGGTGATGTAGGTGAGCCTCATCCAATCAGTTAAAGGTGTTAAGAGCAAAACCCAAAGTTTCTAGGAGAAGGAGAAATTCTGCCTCAAGACTGAAGCACCAGTTTCTGCCTGAGGTTCCAGCCTGTTGGCCTTCACTACCAATTTCAGACTTACCAGCCCCCGAGAATGAGTAATTTCTTAAAACAACTCCCTCACTATATATCTATTTAGTATCTGTATATCTGTCTGTCTGTCTTCTCGATGTTTCTCTGGAGAACACTGATATAATCTAGCAATTTCACTTTTCTATTTGTGGGAACCTTGCACATATGTCAAGCGACCAGGAACAATGCATTTCATCACAGCAGTGTCTGTAACAGGAGGAACGAAGGCAGGCCGAGGGCCCATCAGCACAGCGCTGGTGGACAAGTCCTGTTAGCCCACAGCGTGGAGCCCTAGGTAGCCACCACATGTGAGGCAATGGCAGAATAGTTCCCCAAACTGATTTAAGTGAAAAAAGAAAAGTAGCGCACAATGACAGCGTGTCTTTGTGTGCTTTTCTTCCTAAAAATCAAGAAACTAGACTAGTGTTTGTAAATGTATAAAGTATCTCTTGGTGGCTACAGAAGAAACTAACTCTGAATGCGTCTGGCGGTGGGTGCTGAGTGCCTGGGGCAGGAGAAGACATTTCACTGATGTTCTTTGTTCTACGAAACATAACCAACCCCTCATAAAGATCAAATTGCTTGCAGGCAAGGGCAACGACAGGGAAGGTGGAGCCCATGATTTTCACAGTCGCTGACAAGGCTGTGATCCTCTGGTTCCAAACCCGTCGCCAGCCCCTAAACCCACCACTCGCTGTTCTCCATTCCAGTTGTCTGTTCCCTTTCTTCCTCTGACTCACACCACTCTCTCTTGCCCCCAAGTCAGGAATGCCCCCAGGCTCTAAGAACTGCTTTTCCTCTCCAGAAGAAGCTGGCTGGTGTTTGACTTCCTTCGATGGGAGGAGAGCTGCAGGCTTTACTTCTATACTGCCCTCTCGTGGACACCTTGACCTCTGGGCTCATATCATTCAGGCTAAGAGACCGAAAAGACCCCCCAGGGGGCCTGCGGGGCATCTCAGGTTTTCTCTGGTTGGCCTGGGTAGATGACTCCCTGTTAGAGGACTTTCCTACCAGATCCACAAGAGGCTTGGTGCAAGTCCCCTGCATGGTATCTGCCGTTTATAGACATGCATGTGGTCAGCACCCAGTCAGCAGGAAATCCTGTTGCATGAGGAAGACAGCAAACCTGGGGCCTGTCGCCTGAAGTCTTTTCTGGAGGAGGGGCTGGATATGAACACTTTAGAAGTGCCTCTGGATAAATGCAGTGACTGAAAGTGAACAAGGGCTTGGACGGTGTCTCAGGAGAGCAAAGTGGAGATGAAGTCATCTGGACCTCAAAGCACAGAACAGGAGAAAGCACGCAGGGTGTGTTTTCTCTGCCTGGTTTGGATATATGCATTTGGTAATGGAGGGAAGGAAATGATGTCAACATATGCATTTCATCTCTCAATAATTTCTCAAAGACACAATTTGCTGTCTTTGGACATATTCCATCTTGGATGAGTAATAGGGTCATAGGTCCATGTCAAAAGGGACTCAGTCAGGTGTAGGTACTGGAAATCTATGTTCAGCTTTTTCCCAGTGAGCAGATCTGGGATAAACTTAACAGAAAGCAAAGTGGAGAGGTTCAACTGGACAGGTTTGATCTTGGGGTTTGGAGGTTCATCTGACTTCACTCCTGAGCCTGCTAGGATTTTATGGCATGGAAAACTGCAACTATCTCCCAAAGATGCTGGCACAAACAGGGACACCCAGTTCTGGCTGTGGTCCCCACAGGGAGGTTTAATTGGAACCTCTCGGCTGTCTTGAGTTCCAATAGTTCTGGTGGGATCATTTCACTCACCAAAACTCCGATTTTGTTTCTCCTGGATTGGTCTTAAAAACATAAAACCTCAAAAAGCTGTGGAACACACTATTTAAAAACATGTGCTCTGAGTCAAACGTAAACACAAAGCTGTCTTTTTATAAAGTCTGAGCTTTATAACTGTGCCAAAATGTTTCTCTGTCGGTTTTAAAAATTGAAGTAGAAACCACTGAAGAGTGAAAAATATTCCATGGAGGAAATTCTCAGACATCAAACGGCCAGGTTTATATCACAAAGAAGTCACTGTTTATGCACAAGGGCCCCTTGGGCAAGGCTGGTGGGCTGACACCCGGGAGGACATGGAAGATCATGCGCTCCAGCGGAGCCCCTCGGTCATAATGATGTTGTGCTGACATTTGTCAAACTTTCCAACTTCCCAGGCACCCACATTTCCTACTTCATGTACCTGTGATCCTAATGGGTAGACAGATCCCTCCACCCACCACACACAGAGAAGCTACCCTCCATTCTCTATCCACCTGGGCCAGGAACCGAGAGTGGGAAACGTGAAGACCATGCTCAGGTTACCATAGAAACAGTGCTCTTTCAGGTGACCCATTTCCAAACAGTTTCAGCGGGTTCTAACCTCCCACCGCCTGTCCCATTACCTTCTGGATCCTCCTCTTCCAACATGTCGCCTTTCTCAACAACTGTGTTTTAGGCTCTTAGAAATGCCCAGTGAACAAAAGCACTGGCCATTCTTGAGTCAACATCTGGGCATCCCGCAGACCTGATTGTCACTCCTCTGCCATGCCGTTAGGCATAGTTAGCACTGGGGAGAGGAGATGCTGACCTCAGGAATTCTACCATCTCATCCTGAGGGCAATCTCCCAGAGTGATTTTGCAGGCTGGCTCCAGAACTTTGGGAGAGGAACAGGACTACTTTTTAGCAAATTGACAGAATAATTTTGTCCTTTGAATCTAGAGCGAGATGGAGGTGGGGGGTGGTTGTAATTTTTTAATTTTTCTCAAATTTTGAAAAAGAATTGGACTCTGGATTGGAAATAAACAGCCACCTCCAACAACTAAAATTCACAGGTGGTTTGAGAAACACTGAACTAGGCCATCCTAGAGTGGTGAAGTGAAGATCCAGAAGCAGAGATGCCCAGGGGAAGGGTTGTTTTCAAATTTTGTGAGGTGTGGGTGGAAGATAGAAAATGCTCGTGGAAGGGTGTCTGTGAGATGGGTGCCCAGCTTCCACGTGGCAGCGTGGCAGCTGGGAAGGGGGCCTGGACAGAGTGTGGGGGGCCACACTGTGCTGCTGGCAGGGCGGGGAGGGCTGGATCACGCTGACCAGT